CGATATTACAATCGGACAATTTTTAGACTTATTATATAAATTGTGATTTTTTCAAGCCAAAGTTCTATTTTATTTATCAACAGTGACTCACTGACCTCCCATTTAAAACTTTAGTTCCCGACTACCTATAGCAATAGTAAAACTTTCTTAATTGTGTAGATACCCACTCAATTAAGTCGTAGGCACCATGATGAAGTCTCTCAAATTTTTCCAACGTATGATGCAACAATCGTCATAAAAAAGAAAAACGGGTACAAATTTAACTGCATACAAATTGTGTCCCAGACCCCCTTATTATTCATACTAATTGCGAATGATATTAAACAATTTTTATTAATTGTAATACGACTACATAGTAATACATAATTTTGTCCCTACGTTAAATAGGCACGTTATTTGCGTATTTTATGGTCTATAAACTAGAGACATTACTGTCCCTAAATAGCAACAATTGTGTAAATCGTGTGGATACTTGACATGTTTGGAATTACAGAATACCTCTAAGTACAGTGAAACCTCAATAACCCGAACGTCTATAAGTCGAATTGTTTTTCGATTTTATCGTTATGGGTTTAAGTTATAACACCATGATAGCTATAAATTATAATTCATAAAATCATAACTCATCAATATTAGACTATATTATAATGTAGCCAATTTAAGTACCTATTTGATGATTAATTTTGAACAAGTTTCGATGGTCTATCCCAGTGTTCTTTTATAATTATATTTAAACTTATATTATATTGTTTTATATTATAAATTACAACAAATTGTATGCGTATATTGAATTTACAATTATATTAAAATATATTAAACTTTGAATTATAAGGTATAACTATTGTTACCATTAGTGTACATTACCATCAAGGCATCACATTATATTATTTTATTTTCATGGTTTAATTTAATACCATACAGTGACTTCCACGTTTTTTTTTTCATTTTTATAGCTGTTCCGCCGTTTGTTAGCAATGCTAAATATTTATTATTTTATGGTATGAAAAACACCTATTCAAAATACTTTTTTATTTTTTTTCATTTTTCAACAATCTCAGGTTGTGGAATTTTTTCCACAGAAAAAAAGTAGCACGTATAACATCATAACATGTACTAAAAGTATGGTTGTAAAAGTACCATCAGAGGTTGGTGTTTATAACTGTATCGATAAATGATAATATACTGGACACTGAGATTTAACCAAGATTCAATCATTACAAAATAAAATAATAATTTAATTAATAGCTGGCAAATTACTCGTAACATGTATAAAAGTAAAATTTTGGTCTGTTATGATTTGTAACAGTATAATACAAAAAAAAAAAAATAAAAGTTACGTGCTATAAAATTTGGTATAGTAAATTACAAAATATAAATTGTTACATAATATTATTTATGTAGTATTGGTATTCACTTTGAAGTTTTAAGTATTCGATATGCACGATAGAGGGATGTAAATATAAATTAAGCAAAAGTCAAAAATAAAAATACAATGGTAAATTGAATAGTGTTTTGTGGTTAAACAAACATGGTTATTACTTATTAGTGAATTTTATTATTTTTCATTATTGTTGGAAACGATTTTAAACATTTAAAAAATAATTTCATTTTCAAATACTAAAATCTGTGAACAAAACCACAGATGTTTTTTTTTTTATGAACTCATATCGAATAACAACAGCTTAAGTTAAAGTATTACCAATAGCAATTAAAATATTAACATAAAACTTCGCTTTAAACTTTGATTACCATAAGAATAGCTTATAAATAAAACATACCTATTATCCTTTGCCAATTCGATAAAATATATTATATACAACTAGATTCACACTTGGACTTAGTGTGCTGCAGTGTCTGCTTATTGAATGGAAACAGTTTGTTCGTAGAACGATATTTTAGCGACCGTGCATGACACGCCTACGTCTCCAGGTTGTCTCTTAAGACTACATTCAGTGTGAGGGCAATCAAACTAAAAGCATTAACTGTCGACGCGATACATTATTGTAAATAATAAACCCCAGAAAAAATGTCTATTATTCGGAAATTGTTGTGAAAACGTGTTTAAAACATAATAGACGTAATGATACATTTACAAAATATATTATATTGCTTTTTATTAAACAAATAAATTACAAGTCGACGCATTTAATTGTGGGATCAGGTATTTTATGTCAAACGCATCATAACATGTTTTGTTGATCTTGTCAAGGAATTTAAGTCTATTTAAATTCTACGATACCAGCTATGGGCAAGAGATGACATGCTAAGAGTAGATAGGTAGGTACGGAAAAGCTGTGCGTTTTTAATTAATAAATATGTATCATATAATAAAATAATGAGTTAATTATTTATGAGCCATTAGGTAGATACGAAAAGTAAAACGTATAAGGTGAAATCTCATTAGAATAGATTTTGGAAATTGCTCATTTAAATATACTTGTAACAATATTTTAAAAAATCCTTTAAAAGTTAAAATAGGGTTTTTTTTAACGATAAACTAAAATAAGTTTTTGATAAACCATTAAAATGTGCCTGTCTAATTATTTCAAAGTTAATTACCACAATAATTGCTAATAATTAGCAACAAATTATCTTTCAACTATTAAAGGAATGGCAGTGAAAGGATTTAACATAGTGAAAATAGTACATCAACATTTCATCGATTAAATGTCTGCAAAAATGATTAGGTATGTATGGCTCTTTGCCAGGATAAAAATACAATTTTACAAAAAAAAAGTTTCCGAATCGGTTGGAATATTATTCGCAATGTTCCTAAAGATTTCTGTCAAGGTCTGCGGAACAGCCCTATATAAGCTTCATTATTTTCCAAAAAATATATTTATTTAGAATTGTTAATCATAGCTATTGTCTAAGACTCTAGGTACAAAATTTGGCACATGTCTACTGTTGGTTACAGTTCACATAAAGAAAATAATAACTCATATTATTAAAATATCTTCTATCAAGTAAAAACAGATTTTAACAATAATAACACATTAACAAGTAAAGAAATTTACAATATATCTATTTTCGTGTTCTTAATTTTACGTGTTATATATCGTTTCTAATATAGTTAAAGTTAAATAAAAAATTATTTTTATGTTTTCACTTTTCAACATACCTATTAGGATAGATACATAATAAAAATAATTTATTCAGAATAATATATTCAGTATACTCCAATTTAAATTTAATTATTTTATTTTCAATTATTCTAAATAATAAACATTCAAACTATTATTATTATTATAATTATTACTATTATAAATATCACAACTTTTCAAGCAACTATTTCGACAAATTATTTAATTATTTTGATGTTGAGGGATTCGTAATAGATAAAAATATAATTTTATAATTTGTATGTTAGATTTTTTATACAATGAAAATATATTATAAAATTGTAATAATTATTACTTATAAGTTAAGAGTTAATAGTTATACCTACCTGACTACATATTATTACCTACAATATTTAACATTTTATTGTAACTTTCTTATTCGATTCGAAGAATAAAACTGTTAATACTTTTAATAAGTAGTTCATTAATTTATTCAAATTATGTATAATGTAATGTAATAATGTATAATATTATGTAATTATCCTAAATTTTTAAACACAGTTCATACGTGTATAGTATATATGATAATATGATATTGGTATATTCATTTAGGTCATAACAGTATTATTATGTAACATAAATAATGAATCTAAGAATACAATAATTATGATTTTGGCAATATTTTTTTAAATAGTATTTTAAAAATACTATACCTAACAATGTAATACAACATTTTACGAACCATATGTATGTTGAATACATAATGAACTATTTAGTTTTTCTTTAGAATAGTACGTATTTTTTTACAAACTAAACTAAAATTCAAGCAGTCTATAACTTTTTATCAACGTTTAAGTATATTATATTTAAACAATTTAATAAACCAGTAATTGCAATGGGTGATACAACAAATCAAATCTTTAAATCAAATGTATACAATATTTTTTATCGTAGTTAATCACAATTTTTAATTACCTATAACATTTCCTCAGTTCAAAAAATACATGTAAACTAAATAAGCGCTTAATTTATATACATCATCAACAATTTATGGACTTTATAAAAATAAAATATGCAATTATTTATCAATGTTCACGTGTCTCGTTAAAATATTAATTATTAAATTAAGTAGGTAGGTAAGTATTTTCTTTTATTTAATAGAAGATAGGTATTTTACTGTGATACTTCTACCACACTATATAAAATAGGTAAATGATAATATATATACTAATATAATAGTTGGTTTTTTTTTTTATTAGAATCAGTTGTATAAAATGCTTTCATTATTAACATAAATTTAAACAACGTCTCAAGCCAACTATAAGATGTGCGCGACTCCATACACCTACGTATATTGAGTATAATTTAGTTCAAATTAATTTTTTAGATAGCTATAAGTATAATTTCTGTTGTATTATTTCTACTTTTAGATATGACTCTAGAAACCATATTATTACGCCTACAATGAAAATAAAATATATGATGTATACTTAATTTTAAAAATAAAAATAATATATAATATATTTAAAGAAATAAAAAAACTAAATATTGTTTTCATCTGTTAAATTTACTAAAAAAAAATAGTTTTGCTTTACGTTTTACAGTTATTTTGTATTACTCTTATATATACTTGGAAAAAATTATTAATAAATATGCACAATAATATTATAAAAACTAGTGCAATCGTAATCATAAAATCTATCTCATTAGGCGTATAATATACGGTATGTATATATACATATTGTTTAATTCGATTTGCTTACATTTGAATTAAATTAAACACGCATAACAGTTATGTAGTAGTACCTACGGTATAGGTGTAAATTTTTTTTTTTGTTATTATTACTACGGCCCCCCCAGTGCAATAATTTGTCGTGAAATTTTATAGGTGGTACCAAGGTACTTATTATATAAAGGTACGCATAGGTAGGTACTTACCAGATTGCGAATCATCGTCGTCGAACTCTGTGACGACCGTGTCATTTGCGGCGATGACCAGTTCTGTGGCCGTGCCGTCGAAGCGTTCGGTGGACGTCTCTTGCAGGTGGCCGGTCGCCGTCCACGCGATCGTGGCCACGAGGATCGCGGCCGACATGACGGACAGTGCCGCGATCAGTGGCCACTTGGCCGTCGGCGCTCGGACCGACGTCTTCGAACTCATGTTATATTGTGTGCAATAGTAATATTATTATATCGTATTATAATGATATTATATGTTGGACGACAATTTGAATGGAAAAATGCAAAAAAAAAAAAACCCCGTTGCAGAGGAGTTTGAAAAACAAAAAAACAAACTAGAAACGATGATCCGAAACTGCAGTGATGCGGATGCGACGACACGCACTTGGACGCGAAATTTTTGAATTCATCGTAACACCAATATAATATATAGTGACGACAGTACCTACAACACGTTAATATCATATAATAATAATAATAATAATATTATCGCGGGGTATAATGTTATACCTCTACGACTTTGGATTCGTGGCGATATTATTAATTTTTTGAGGGAAAACACGCGAGGCGCGCGCGTCGTAGGGGAGTTGGACCGGCACAGACCGCGTGTACCACCGACTGGACGACGAGACGGACACGAGACCGCACGCGCGCGCCGCCAATACCCCCACCGCCGAGGACGCCAGACTGTCTAAATATCGCGCACGATGACCCCCCGGGGGGGGGGGGACGGTTCGAGAGCGGTACAAGTTCATTGCGAATCTTGTCATGTGCACGCGTAGGTAGGTATATTGTGTATTATATATGTAGTTCGGTGATGCACTTGGCATAACGACTAGACGCGTACAATACGTAATAATAATAATTCGTTTTATATAATATTATTATAATATTGTCCTCGCCACTACGATGTATTATTTTTTGTACGATTATGTATAGGTAGGTACCCATTTTTAAGAGTCGTTTTTCTAGATCATCTTAATATATAATATTATATTATAATAATATATATCAACGACTGACATTTTCGTAATTTTGGTGGTCACCTGACTAACCGACTAGAAACTTGTAACGATAACAAACTAAAAAATTTAGAATTTTTTGAAATCGTATAAATTAACATTTAGTAATAGTTTCAATTCAAAATGCAAACTTTTTAAATTCACATTTACAAGTACCACTATAATAGTACGTTTTCGTTTAAATTCAATCGAAAGCAGATAAATGGATATACGCATATTATCCTTTTAATATGGATTATAATAATATTATTACTACAGTCGAACCTCGTTAAAGATGATATTATAATTCATTTAAGGTAAAAATATGTTGTCGAATGTTGGTGTATTCGCTAGCTGATTCGGGAAAATTATAATTTTGATTTAATTTCTCACCTATTTTTTTTTTTGCAAGGGGAGGGTTAGAGTTTGTAGTTTCTTTTATATCTGAGAGGGGCCAATATCCCAGAAAAGGTTAAGAATCCTTGAATTAACTGTTATGAGCATAATCCATTTACTGCGCGGTGTACGCAGAGTACTGCTAAGGAGGCCTTCCTCATTATATTATTAGGTATATATTATTATATATATTTATTTAAAACTAAAACGAGCTGGATAAAGTACCTAATATTTTACTCCGACCGTTTTAATAATCAAATTAATAAAGTTGTAATTTCGAATTGTTTATTTTATAGTTCATTATATAATAGCTTTGACTTACTTATTCTATACTTTTTTTTTTGTCTCTGTGACCTAGTCCCACCTTGTGGCCAACACTCATAATTCGACAAAATAGGTAGTATTCATATTATATTATATTTCGATCCAACTTTCATCATTGACTCCATAATATGTTCCAAGACTATTATTCTCTGAGTACTTAAAGCTTAATTTCTCAGGAACTACTCGTTTGAAATCGGTTTAGATGCATCAAATTAATTGAGATTGAATTATCTGTACATCTGTTTAACAATAATTTACTGTAAATAGAAAGTTGGTTCTCATTAAAAAAAAAGAAACTTGTACCTCCACAGGAAACTTTTTAAATGGTAAAATTGTCTGAGTACCTACCTAAATGTAAGTACGCGGTCCTTAATAATTCCAAAATACTTCGAATAAACGCTTATTATATTTGTAGAATAGCATAAGATGTAGGTGAGAATGAATGACTTATTCCGATGTTACTATAGATATGGCAACTATGTACTTAATATTCGGGTGAAGGAAATAAAAACAAATCAACCCTACCATCCCCAGATCCTGCGAAAGACCCTACAAAGGAACCATTAAATAGTATTAATGTAATAATTCAGTCAGGGACAAAATTCGTGAACACTTTTTGTTTTCTGGAATGCAATTCTATAGAGATAGGGACGCGCCTGAACCATGATACATAAGTAATAACATTGTCTTGCTTACAAACTTAATTTTTTTTATTATAAGTTATAGTTCATATTAGGAATTCATCTTAATATATCAAAGATAAATAAGTATAATTTAGCACCGTACTACACCTCTCCCCCCACCATAGCTTTCTGAGGCTTATTCTTAATAACAAAAAAATATTATAAATAAATTCAAGACAAATACAAAATTATTAGTATGAGCGTCATACAATGTATTTGCATAATTATTATTTAATTGCTTTTAACAGTATATTATTAAAAATACCAAAAGCACAAATAGTTATTTTCAACAAATCAAAAACTCAAATTTTTATTCAACTACTACCTATAAAAAAAAATAAATTGTACCTATACAATATTTTGAATAATATCCATTTCCATGACACGTACCAATTAATTTTTAGTCCGGGCCATACATATTCATATAATATTGGTAGGTAGATGGTTGCACGCAACACGCACGTTTATATCGACACTTATCTTAGGTTTATTTAACTCTGAATTTATTTTTAGAGAAAGTGACGAAATCATTTGTATTATGTTATTGAAGGCTCCCTTTTTTATTTATATTTTTACGTCATTTTATTTTATTTTAAACTCAACTCTTCGAATCTATTGGGATATAGGCCTATATAGGTAAATCTGTTTTTGGTAAAAAAAAATATATATATGTATATGTACTTATATGCAACATCAAATTATAATCTTCAATAATGCCTCAAGCGAAAACCTGTTTCAAAATAGAAAATTTAAATTTAACCGTCTAATTCTGCCACAACCGCAGTCTACTGCAGTCATATTTTCCTTACCCGTAGCGATAATAATTAATTCAAGGTTTTAAAAATCTGTTCATACTTTATAGGAAGTAGGCATCGATAGTAGATTTAGAAAAACCTAAACGGCCTATAGTATATTTATGGATATCACATAAATAGTGGTATTAAATGCATTTATTCCTTTTTGGTAATGACATCTGCAGTGACGTACCTGCGGGGGGGTTCGGGATTCAGCTGACCCACAATTCAGATTCCTTTTAGGGGCATATATAGATTCCACCGAAATTATCTTTTTACCTGTAAGAAACTTATCGGCTATTGCCTCCGCCGAACTTTTATATAACAATATGTCGATTCCACCAGATCATATTATATTATTGTATACTTTTACTAAAAATTGATGACGAGAGAATAAAGAAAATAGTGATTATCTAGGTAATTATTACATTGATGAAACATCTAAATTTAATTGGGCATCGTCTTCGATATCATCGAAACGAAAAACTATGTAACATTAGCCAATCATTATTCGTTTCGTTTAAAACTTTAATCACAACTCACTAAAGGGCATCCTAATATACCGATGTTTTCACGTATTGAATTTTAAATTACAAACTAATTCATTAAAATATAATATAATAGTAAGAAATAAGAGGACTGAACAAAAATAAAATCACCAAAAACAAAAACTATGAAATTAACATAATATATACTTAGGTACTTAAGTAACAAAAAATGTTGACGATTATTTAGATTAAAAAAATTGTGATACCCACTCATATTAAATTGCATACATTAATTTATTATTTTTTAATAAATTACGATTTTATTGAATTATGTAAGAATAATAACCCCATCAGTATATTTTGAATTATTGTATTTATTACCTATTTAATATTTTATTGTTTTTTGCTGCCACATTATGCATTACTATAACCTAACCTACGGATATATTATATGGAATCGATTGCCGGCGGGATCAACATAATATAATATACAAATCATTTCAAAATTTCCAAATGATATTAAAACGACTTTTATAGCATTTCTTCTTTCCATCACTTATAGTTTTATTAGAATAATTAATTTAGACAAATAATTACAAGCTGTTAAGATCCATTCGTAATTATTGAGGACACGATATTATTATGTGTATGTTGTAATAATGTGAAATATTATAACAACTATAGATAGGTAGGTATAATTGTTACCTACTATGACAATAATTTTTCTTCACGTAAAAACATGTGTACCTACCATTATTTCCCCTTTTGTCATAAGCTGATAAACACTATAAATAGGATTATCATATCTTTGAATATTTCTGTAGCAATAATATTATATGGAGTAAATTATTTTGATCTTTCGGAATACCATAGTCCATAATATGACCACTGACCAGGACATGGTGTAGGTATTTTAATACGAAATAAAATTAAACCGTATTTGATAACTTCAAATTTAAATTTATTTATTAATTATATATATTGGATCTTTATTAACAATAGTTTCGGATTAGCTAGATATCTAAGAGTTCTTCTATAGTATTTTCTTAAACTGTGACTAATTTGTAGCATGTTTAATAATTTACGAGTATATTACATTAATATAATAATAATATAATATATGATTACAATATATTTCTTATCATATTATGTATTGATTGTATTCAAAAATATAACATACACTAAAATTATGCTTTAGAAGTAGGTAGGTGTACATACTATGTATGCTAATCTTATGTTGGGAAATTAGTAAGTAGGTACCTGCATACATTAGTGTATATATATATATTTATATATAATATTTTGTAGATACCTACATACTTATCATACATCTATAATAGAACACTACTGGGATTCATTCAACCAATATTTAAGTACCTATTTTAAAATTAAAACTTAATTTAATCAAAACGTGTACCTAATCGAGACGTAATTTATGAAATAGTAATTTGGATAACCACGCATCATAACTCCTGAATGAATTACGTAGATACCTATCTACATGGTGCATCATAAT